TAGGAGAGTAGAGGTTTTAGATTTGACTTATGTTAAGAAAGGTAGGGGTAGACCTAAAAAGACTTGGTTAGAAAATATTAGGAATGACCTTTCTTTATTAGATTTAAACGAGAATTTGACTTTTAATAGGACACAATGGAGAAAAAGGATTCATGTAGCCGACCCCACGTAGTGAGATAAAGGCTTGATGTTGTTGTTGTTGTTGTAATAATTAATCAAAATAAACTATTAAATGACTAATTACTAAAAATAAAATTTTAAAACAGTTAAATCATTTAAATTTTTAAATTTTAAATCTGCCCATAAAATCCTGACGGAAAGAAAATTGCCATAAATTTTTGCCATAAAATTTAACTCATTGTATTCCATAAAAAAATCGCCGGAAAATTGACCGCTGGAAAATTTCATCGGTAATGGATGGTTTTCCTATGATGTAGTGGCGCAAAGTATTCACATTAGTGTATAGTTGCCAAAAATTTTTTTTTACTGTTATTGATAGTTTTATGTCTACATCATTCTTATTTGAAGCATCATGATAACTTTAGAAGATGAAAAATTGAATTCACCATTCTCCACCTTGAATCTTTAGGGAAGAGTTATTCTCTAGTATGTCAAATTGCTTGAAAGTATATTTGGCACATGCAATGATAAGCATAAAATTCTTGAATTTGACATGAAACACTATTAACCAAAGAGGAACCTATTTTGGAAGTTGACATTTTGGTGTTCTAATCTTATTCATCATAGTACTAACATAATATAAATTGAGATTAATATTTTTAATAATATTTGTAATAAAGTGATGAATACAAATGGTAAAATAAAAGATAATATGAAAATAAGGCTTGATTTGATGTTGATATGTAATAGGCCTGAAAATGTTTTCATGGAAGATGGATGGATTAAGTCATGAGATGGTATAGGAGATGTAAGTGAAGTGTAAAGTTTAAAAATGGTAGCGATCGATGAGTAGCAGCGGTGGTGGCCAACAACGACGAGAGGCAACCAATGACGGGTGGAGGTGGTGGTAGCTGGGGGCGGGTGGCTGTGGTGGTGGCCGATGGCGCATGGCGATGACCAGAAGTTGTGGTGGTGATTGGCTCCGGGTGGCGATGTTGGTGGCAGCCCACGGCTGTCAAGCGAGCTTGCTTGCCGTGTAAATCATTCTCGCTCAAAATGGCCTAATTTGTTTTACCTCAAAAATGAACTAGAATGATTTATACTATACTTACTTTACTTTGTATTTCTTTTTCATCCAACCAAATAAAAACATTTTCAAAACTCCTACATTTGAAATACTTTACACAATTGTGTAATCCAACCAAACATCCCCTACATCCCACTAATATAAATCATTATGTGAGGTAATCCTAGTTGTATGCAAGTGCATGTTGTTTTTATATTGTTATGATTCAAAAAGAAGTACTACGACGGCAATATTGGGAAGAGCAAAAGCATGAAGGAACCCACCGCGGGGTGTCTTGGTGGTGGAGACTTGGCTGGCCAAAGGCCATGTACCAAGTTCAAATCCCTTGGCACTTCGTGACAACCTTAAGTGTCGGCCCGTGTAAATTGGTGTGACTTGCATGCTAGGTCGACCAGGAAGAGTAATAGGATGAGATGTCCTTCTTCCTATATAACGGGATATAAGAATAATAAAGATATTTTAGTTCAAAACAAATTTTCATTCATATTTCTCTAAAATAAAAAAAAACAACGGGCATATTTATCCAATTTCTATTATTATAAGGCATGAAAATCAAATTTAACTTGTTTGCCAATAAAAAAAAAGCAGAAGAAATTAAATAGCACTAAAATGTGTTGCTCAATTGACTTATTCTCTTTATTGAGAAAATAAAGTTTTTAAAAATAAAATTATTGCAACAGATCGAACAATTTTAAAAAAAAATTTAACTCCAAAAAAAAAAATCACACAAACAATGAAAGCCATTAGCTAATTCTACTGAGGACAACAAAACATACAATGAATGAAAAATGTCGTTTTGATCCACTTGGATTAAGTTGTCTTCTACTTGGTTTATTAACAAATTTCATTAGTTGGTTCATAAAAAGAATTTATTAATGTTTATCCTTTTTCAAATAATTAAATTGATCAATTAGGTGCACACTTTGACCAACTCTAATAGTTGCATTTGGTATGATTCTTGTTTTGTCATTATAAAATCGTTCATGTAATTAGGCGTATGTTTTGATTGGCTGCAGTTTTTTTATAAAGGTGGTTGTAAAGCTGCTGTGGAGAACGTAATGTTTTTGAAAGCTATTGTAGAAAGCATCTTCCTATCACGAAAATATATTGAAAATTGTGAAAGAATAATGACCAAATAAAAATTATAATTGCATTGTGGAAAAATAAAACATAAAGCTGTCACAAATAAAATCTAATTATATGATCAATTGTTCCATAATTTTTGTTCAAGAGATTAATTAACTTTCAATGGGTAAGAGATGGTGCTTCTTCAAGCTTTCAAGTTGCTTGATTTCCAAAAAGATTCAGGCTTCGTTGGGGACAATTTTTTTACTATTTCTTAAAGCAACTTTTAAAATGTAATTATGAAATTAATAAGAAAAATTTTGTTTGTAATGATAAACCAAAATTTGCAAGGTGGAGAATTATGAAGATGATAAAAATATCGCAAGTAATTTTGTTGTTGTTTGGAAGCTTCTAAAACCCTAATATGCGCCTATTATGATATCCACCATCCTTCTTTCACATTATACAACTGTAAAATCTTTTTAAAACTATCTTACCGTTTTGAATGAAAAGTGTAACGGCTAGCTTTGCTTTCTTGCTCCAAACAAACAAAATCACAACTCCCTCTATCTTCCATGGTTAGGAAGGCTTAGGGATCCATTTGACATAATTGTAACATTTTATAAATGCGATTATAAAGCTGTTGCGGATAAAATATATTTTTTTAAGCTATTGAAAAAAGCATCTTCTTGGCACAAAAAGAATTTGTGGTCAAACAGAAACTATGATTACAATCTATAAAGTAAAGCAGTAAGAAACTTATCCTAAATGAAGCCAAGGCTTCGTTTGAGACGGCTTTCTTACTGCTTCTCAAGAACTTAAGATGTACAAGTTATGAAATAAAATCAATTTTTAATCTTTTCAGGTAATAGTAAAATGTAAAAAAAAAAATAAAACCTCTTGCCTATAAATAAATATCCCCATAGTGGCAAAGTAAGCATCAAACTTCTTTTTTTTTTTTTTTTTTAATTTTTTTTTTTTTTTTAATTAATAGAAAGATTTTCTGATATTAATTTCAATTATCTCTTGCCTTCAACCTCACTTATAGACTTTGGGATCATAGTGTCTTCCTCAAGTACACCATTTCTTAGGTCATATTCACTCATTCATTGGCAATGTTGTATATAGGAAGTGAGCTCATGTGAATGGAAGCATCATGTGGGAACCTCAATGAGCCCAATATTAACCCATTATAAGCAATAAATATGCTTAGGGCATCTCCATTTTACTATTTACATATTAAAATTCCACTAATTATTGTAAGCATTTTTTAAAGAATTATGAGCAATTGTTATATATTTATAATTTAAATATGTGAAGTAAAAAATAGTCTTCTCATAGAAATGAGTTGTTTTTCCTTTCAATTTTTTTTTTTTAAATATTAATGTTAGGGGTATCAAAATAGGTTAATGAGTTAGATTCAAATATGACCTGAATTCAGTCCATTCGAATCTGGCATGTTTAATAAATAGGTCAAAAAGACTAACCCAAACTTGACCCGCTAGCAACCGGAATGAACATAACTCGGCCAATTAACCTATTTTTGCTAAAAAGAAAAAGTCTTATTAATTATAAAGTAAAAAATATGAAGAAGAAACCCACATGTAAACAATTTTAATGAAAAAAAAAAGAGATATTAAATAGGTTGCTTTTGGGTTAAAAGTAGGTTTGTGGATTAACCTTAACTCGATCCGTTTATCAAACGGATCAATCAAAAATTTGAATTTTTCAGTTTGGGTCAAGAAAAAAATCCAGCAACTCTTTTTTTTTTTTTTGGAACATTTAGTTCCATTAAGTCAAACTCACATGCCCATTAATTGTTAAAGCTCCAACTAATACATCAGGAAGAGCTGCGGTCTACTTACTTTTCTAAACTAGAGAAACAAGTCGAATTGTACTGTTGCTCATCCGCCCAAATAATTTTACCATAGCTACACGTCTATGAATATTACTGATGGCACGGACAAACGCCTCAAAGTGCTTCCATGGTTCTTTTGCGTTAAAAATCTCTTTCTCTCTCTCGTCCTTTCTCGCCTCCTATGTTTGTTTTAGTGAAAATATCTTATTTTGGAGTAAGTCGGAGGATGTTTTTGATCGTTTGCTCTGTTTCGTTTTCTTTTCGTTTCCATTTTGTATAAGCATAAGAGGGGAAGGATGAAGTTTTGTAAGAGATATGAAGAGTACATGAAGGGTAGGAAGGATAAGGAGTTCCCAGTGGTGGGACTGAGGAGGCTCAAGAAGATACTTAAGAAGTGCAGGAGGGAATTCCAATCTCAGACTCGTCTGAGAGTCATTGAGGATGAGAGAGAACAAGATGAAACTAGTGGGTGTTGTATGCCCAAGTGTTCTGACCATTGCTCAGGTTTGTAGTTTACTTTTTTGAGTTCATTTGCAAGTTTAAATTTTTTGAATGGCAGGATTTAACAATTGATGGAGCTGAAAAAGCACTTAAGCAAATAGTAGACTTTATAATCTCCAAAATTGTGTTTAACTGGATTCAAGCTTGCCTAAAATAGCATGCCATATAGTCTTAAGCATCAAAAAGAGGTCATCAAGAAGATTCATTTATACAGTCTAAATATGAGATAGAGTTACCATTTTATGAAGAGAATTGTTGTCATTAGGGTCGACTGTGGATAGAGAAGGAAGATAGCTATCTGCTTTAATCATGTGAGATAGGAAGGAGCACAACCACTTGCTGAAATTGCCAATTAAAGGAGTGAATGAGAACTGCAGCTAGTTGTTTCAAATGTCAAGAAAACTAGAGGGAGGAGCAAAAGCTTGCTGAGGTAGACTTCCTCCTTGACCATCATTGCAGTCAAGTTCACCCTCCTCCCTTTAGTTCTTCCTATGTTTTCTGTTGTAGTCGTACTTCACATTCTGCGCTTCTCTGTTGTCGATGGAGGTGCTCAAATCCATCTCTGTCTAACATTGCTTGAAGCTCCTTATCCCTCTCTTCTGTCATCCTCAAATGTTCTCTCTCTATCATAAGAAGGGGAAGCCACGGGACCATTTCTCTATTGTAGAACCTGATGTCGCTCTCCTACTCTCGATTTTTTATTTTGCTTCTTGGAGTAGGATAAGAAGCTCCTCCCCAGACCCCAAGGAGTCCACTAGATAACTGGAAAATTACAAGTTCTAGAATCAAATAGCCTTGCACGCCAAAATTCCAACATTTTAAATTGATTACATAATTTCAAATTATTCTCATAGCCCAATAAAATCAAATCAAATTCAATCGAATACAATAATGAGGGGATCTCTAGACATATTTAGAGTGGGAAATTTTGCTCCATAAATTTAGCAAACTCCACATAGATACCATATTTTCAATGTGCTTGACTTAGTGGTCAATTTACTAATTTCTCTCTATGAAGCCCCTTCATAACAGCATTCAGAAAAGGCTAATTTGAGGCATAGAAAAGCCTCAGTTTATTTGTCGTGACTTTGAAGAACATATCTATAGGATTTTCTACCCCTTTGATTTTGTATACCTGCAAAGAATCTTCTTTAAGCAGTTGTGGATGTAGTGGTACTTTAGTTGCTTGCATTGCCTCTATTGTTATATTATCTGGGTAATGGTGCTTTTAATGAGTTAATGTTATACTCAACTTATTGGGAATTTTTGCCCATATTTTGGGTAATTATGCTTACAACAGTTGTTTCCTCTAGACAGTGTATCATAATTTTGTTCCTCTTCATTAGTAAAAGATAAACAGAATAGCAAGCTGCTCTTTGATTAGTACAATCAAAATGAATATTAACTTGGTTATTCCTTATTATTTATTTGCCCAAGAGCAGTACAAGTCTTCACTTCGGCTTCGTTTGGGACGTCTTTCTTACTGCTTCTTAAAGCAGTTTTCTAGTACAACAAATAAAATTTTTATAATAAAAAACTGCTTTAAGAAGTATTAAGAAAGTCGTCCCAAAATAAGGCTTCATGTTGTGATAAAAGTGATTTTGATGGATGAATTGTCTTGATTTTCTGGTAAAAACATAATTCATTGAGTATTTGATTTGTTTGAATATTTTCCATGCTTGCATTATTCTTAAAATCATTTGAAGGATACCCACTTTCCCTGTTTCAGAATGGTTTGAAGCTCCTTCCTGTTCCGCAATCCATAAGAGAGGAAAAAAACGTTAAAAGTTTGATTTGCGCATTGTCACATCATAGGGAGTGGCTCGATACATAATGAAATAAGAAAATGACTGTAATTCTTCTTTAATTACTTAAAAAATGGCATCAAATATGAATCAAAGTATGAAACCACAAACTAAGTGACAACCTAAGTAATATTAAAAACTCAAGCCAAAGTGTATCAAACCTTCTGTTAAGAAAATTATTCTTTTCAGATCAGTTTATGTATTGCTTCTTAAGCATATTCTCTGGCTTTAAATGTGATTTGAATGTGGATTCCTAAAGGCGCTTAAGTTAGGCTTTATTTGGGACGGCTTTCTTTCTTATTTCTTCTTAAAGCAGCTTTCTAGTATAAAAATTTTAATTTTTAAACTAGAAAGCTGTTTTAAGAAGCAATAAAAAAGCCGTGCTAGGCTTCGTTTGGGACGGCTTTCTTCCTGCTTCTTGAAGCAGCTTTCAAGTACAAAAATTACAACTTTTGTACTAGAAAGTTGCTTTAAGAAGCAGTAAGAAACCGTCCCAAACGAAGCCTTAGTCATGCTTGTCTTCACAACTAGTTTAGAACATTTGATTATCAGTTACTAATTAACTTAGCAATATCATGTGGTATTCCTTTACAACTAATTCAGTTTACATTATTCTTCGAATATAGTGTGTGATGGCACTTTCTTCCCCTCTCTTGTGGTGGAGATGTCTAAGGTAGTTGGCTTCTTCAACAAACAAGCAAAGAGTCTACTAGAGCTGCATTTAGCATCTGGTATCCAAAGGTGCTTGATATGGTTTGGAGGAAAGCTTCCAAAAAATAATGTAGCCCTGATTCAGGAAGGCAAAGAGCTGGTCACTTACGCTATCATCAACTCCATTGCCATGAGAAAAATATTAAAGAAATATGATAAGGTGTTTGCATAAAGTGCAATGAGTTATTAATTTATTGTGTAATGTTTATTTTTCTTTACTTTCCACAGAAACATATGGAGTGGTACTCGTATATTTGAACCTTTATCTCTTGGTATACTTTTTATAGAAATGCTCTTTGCACCCAGTCCAATCAACACATATTCATTGTAATCTCTATATTATATGTTATAGAAAATTTTGGATGATTCTTCAGGTTCATTATTCTAAGCAAGGTCAAGCATTCAGATCAAAAGCTCAAACGATGCAAATAGAGATGCTACATTCTCCATGGCTATCTGAGTTAATCGCCTTCTACATCAATTTGAGGGAAAAGATCAACAACAAGCATCCGTCGGGTCTTTTGACTGACTTTAAACTCGCATTCAACGACGGCAGACCAGTGCTCTCTTGCAGCTTGTTTGATTCATTGAAGCTTGATATTGATCTTACTTGCTCCATATGCTTGGTGAGTTTAATGCATGTAATGTGAAACAAGTATCATATTTTTTGAAGTCAGATTAAGGCTTCGTTTGGGACAGCTTTCGCACTGCTTCCTAAAATGGTTTTCTAGTATAAAATTTTCTAATTCAAGAAAATTTTGTACTAGAAAGCTGTTTTAGAAGGCAACAAAAAAGTTGTTCCAAACGAAGCCTAACATAATCAGCAAGCTTAGTTTTCCTTGTTTTGTTTTTGCCTATGGAATGCATATTTAAGAATCTACAGTTGTGAAAATTATTATTGAATAATCAAATGGTTAATTTCAGGACACTGTGTTTGATCCCGTTTGTCTCACTTGTGGCCATATTTTCTGTTATATGTGCTGTTGCTCGACTGCATCAGTGACTGTTGTTGATGGATTAAAAGCTGCAGACTCTAAAGCAAAATGCCCTCTATGTCGACAAGTAGCTCCCTCACTCTCCCATCTTCTCTCTCAATTCCTTTTTATTTTCTTATTTGATGGATTTTTAACCTGTTTGAAATGACTTCAGCAAGGGGTGTTTGAGAGAGCTGTATACATGGATGAGCTGAACATTTTGCTCAGCAAAAGGTACAATATTATTTAACTTACTGACTCTTTTTTTTAAAATGATTGCTACCTTTAAAGTTTAAATCTTAAGACTATTTAATTATTTGTTTATTATTTTAACAATAAATTAAACTAAATCAGCAACAAATCCTTAAGTAAATAGCCTAATCAGCATTGCACTTAATGAGCTATGGATAATTATACTTGTTTTACTATCTTATTCATTAATTAATCCCTAATTAGCTTAATTTATCTCCTACTAATTAATTATCTCTAATTGAATAACCTTATTTGTATATAACTAATTAGCTTAATTAATTAGCCTAATTTTAAATCCTAATCATCAACTAATAAGTACTTATTAATCTAAATTAATTTAATAACAAATTAGTTTATAATTTTTAGATTAACTATTATACTAATCATCAATAAATACCTTAGTAATCTAAATATTCATAATTATGCTAAACATGTTACCAAATCATTGATTGTTTTCTTATTAGAAGAATTAATTAGCTTAATTTAATATGCAAAAACCTTAATTAATTTCTAAATACTTAATCACATTACTCTGTTAATTATTACTAAATGATTAATTAGCATTACTTATTAATCTATTAATTAATAAATTCTTAATTAGCCTAGTTTATAATAATGGCATACCTGGTTCTTCAAGTTCCCGCCAAAGTTTAAATCGCACTTGTCATAGTCCTTCCACAACAATTTGGCTATCATTGTTTGCATGTACATTAATATGCTTACTTGTACCTCGACGTTGGCCACTAGCTGAGCTACCTTCGTCAACAATTTCTTCATGCTTGCCGGTTGGCGAGTCGTTACATGTGGATTGTCGCTGCTTGCAGATGATGCGTTGTTGCATTCGCCAATAACCTCTTCATGCACATTGGTGTGTGGGCTATTATGTTCATTTGTATATCTTTCATTGTTGCCCAGTGATCATTCATAAGGTTGTTGTAGTCTCTTCCAAGCACATTGTTATGCGCATCAACCTCCTTTGTTTATGGTAGAGTAATATGTTTGTTTGCTTGATTGATACATGCATCGTAATCAATAACCATCGTCCTCATATGGCTTGCATCTTTGATTTTTATAGTCGGGATTTCGTATGTCATAAGTCCCATTTCATTTGTTGATTCTCATCCGAGCAATCAAAGTTGCTTAGTGTTTGTAACTTTCAGTTTAATTATGCATTTTAGAGTTTAAATTTCAATATGGTTCCCTGTGGTTCAATTTGCAAGCTATGTCCCCTGTTGTTCAATTTTAGATCCCCTATTGTTCAATTTGCAAGTTCAAGTTTGCTGCCGATTGTTCAGTTTTAAGTCCTATGTGCTTAATTCAAATTCAAGTCCCCAGTTCAGCATAAATTTTGGTAGCATCCTGGCATTTCCCCTGTTTAAGAAAAAATTCAAGAGTCTGGGCCTTCCCACCAAACCAAGAAAGGCGTGTATGGTAGGTATAGGGAGACACCATGGCCATAATCTTTCATCCCAACACGCAAAGAAAGACGTGTATGGGTCTTCAGAGGTACCTGTTTGGAATGTGCAACTTTTTTCCCATAGGCACTGAGGCATCTATAGGTACTTAGAAGTGTCCCCATTACGCTGAGATTTTCCTCCCACCACACTAATAAAAATGTGTATAGGTGATTTTCCGGTGCATCACAAACACCGAAAGTGGGACTTTTGGTTTGAACTTTATACCTTGGTGGACAGGTCAACGGCGACGATCACAAAAAATTTCTTTCCCCTTCTTTTTTTGTATTTTTTTTAAATTCTTTTCATATATATATATATATATATAGGGTACAGTCAACTCAAAGAACCTTTGATGAGTTTCCCCTAGTTTTTATTACCTTTTACAACCTTAAAATACCCCATCCCTTTGCAAAAGAAAAAAAAGGAGGTTGATTTCTACTCTCTTTGGCTTCGTTCAGGATGTTTTTTTGTTGCTTCTTAAAGCAATTTATTAGTACAAAAATTTTGCTTTATATTACAAAAATTAAAATTTTTTTACTAAAAAACTGTTTTCAACAAAAAAGTCGTCCCAAACGAAGCCTTTGTAAACATTAGCAACTGGTGTAATGGTACTTCCACTCCAAACAAAAAAGAGGGGTATTTGAAACAGTAGAGGGAAGAGTTATTTCCTTCATCCTGTTGCAACTGCCCTTGTTTTTTTGGCTAATTTTTTTAACTCTTCTGTATGTTAATGTCGATAGTGTTGATACAGTAAACCTTTAATATTTTAATAACCAAATTGCTAATATTTTTTCATTTTCTTTTAATTTCAATAGTTGCCCTGAGTACTGGGAGCAGAGGTTAAAAACAGAACGAATTGAGAGGCTCCAGCAAGCTAAGGAACACTGGGAGTCCCAGTGCCGAGCTTTCATGGGAATTTAGACTTCGTTGGGGATGATTTTTTTACTGCTTCTTAAAGCAGATTTTTAATTAAAAATAAATTTTGGCTAAAAATATATTTTAAGAAGCAATAAATAAGCCGTCCCAAACGGAGCCTTAATTTCATAAAAGTTAATCTCTTGTTAGTGTCATTTTCAGGTTTGTTCACTTAATTGGTATTTATCACCTGTGGAGGCCTAGCTTAGATATTTTTTCTCCCTGTCCTGGAAGCAGAAAAAATGTGTATTGTCTGCACTGCTTTTTCATTGTGGAATGCTTGAACGAAAATAAAATAACCTGTTGATGTTTTGTCCAGATATATATTAGTCTTACCGTTGTATTCATGTAAATTACAACAGCTTTTTCAAAATTAAAACTTCGTTTAGGACAGCTTTAGTACTGCATTTTAAAACCGTTTTTTAGTACAAAAAGTACAAATTCAAGAAATTTTTGTACTAAAAAGCAAGAAGAAAACCGTTCCAAACGAAGCCTAAAGAAATAGCAATGCTTCTTCGTTGGGGATGGTTTTCTTACTGCTTCTTAAAGCAGATTTTTAATTAAAAAATAAAATTTTGACTAAAAAACTGCTTTAAGAAGCAATATATAAGCTGTCCCAAACGAAACCTTAATTTATCTCTTGTTAGTGTCATTTTCAGGTTTGTTCACTTAATTAGTATTTATCACCTGTGGAGGCCTAGCTTAGATATTTTTTCTCCCTGTACTGGAAGCAGAAAAAATGTGTATTGTCTGCACTGCTTTTTCATTGTGGAATGCTTGAACGAAAATAAAATAACCTGTTGATGTTTTGTTCAGATATATGTTAGTCTTACCGTTGTATTTATTCATGTAAATTACAACAGCTTTTTTAGAATTAAGGATTCGTTTGGAACAACTCTCTTATTGTTTTTTAAAACGTCTTTTTAGTACAAAAATTTCAAATTCAAAAAATTTTTGTACTAGAAATCAAGAAGAAAACCGTCTCAAACGAAGCCTAAAGAAAGAGCAATGCTTCTGATACCCTCATATTCAACACATTATGTAAAGTGTGATCTATGAAAAGTATATTGCTTCTCATACCAAAAGGTCAACATATTTTAAATTTTTTGTTTTGATGTGATATCTCATAGATAAAAGAAGAATGGTGTAAAGGAATATGATATACCAATATCACATTTTTTATTGCATACAATATAGAAATGATGTTGAAATGTGTTTATTTGATCTGAAATGTATTTCTAAAAGAAAAAGTAGGATGTTAGAAACTATGCTAGATTCAGTATGTAAGCTGTCTGAAGTGTTTTGGTTAGGTTGTATGAACAATGGAGGGAAGATTTATATGATGGTCCTGATGGTTCATTTGGTTGCTTATAAGCTAAAAATTGTCTTTATGATCCTTCAAAAGAAAGTCATTACTTATTTTAGCATACTCACAACTGCTAACTTCAGTCAAGCAATTCATTCATACATAGAAAGCTCAAAGAAGCTAAAATTATATGCATAATGACAAGTAAGGAAAGTCACTAAAGTGTTAGGGATTCTCCACATGATAGTATGCACAACAGTTCAAAACTAACTTGTTAATCTCTCTTCAATAGGCTCCTCTCCAAGCTCTTCATAAGGCTCCCACTCTTGCTATTCTAACTAGCTTAAGGCATGAAATAAACATTTCACCTTGAATATCTCATATTAAATAGGAGAGAATAATATAACTTTCAATAGGTGATGGCTTTGATTGGTAGGATGACAGAGAAATCATGTGGAATCTCCTAGCAATAAGAAAACATGGAAATTCTCTACATGATGCTCTCAAGTGATGACTAGATAGATTTGTGTGCTAGGCAAGGAGGGAACTTCTAAAGATTCTTTATGGATTTGGGAAAAGCAAAAAAAAATTGTCAATTCATATTTTCCAATCCCCCTTCCCTCACTAAAGGCTTGTTTGGGACAGTTTTCTTTCTGCTACTTAAAGCAGCTTTTTAGTGCAAAATTAAAAAATTTTGTATTAGAAAGCTACTTTATGAAGCAGAAAGAAAGCTGTCCCAAATGAAGCATAAATGCCCACTTAAATATTCAATACTCATTCGATTGACTTTACCAACTAGTCGACTGCCAAACTATATAGTCATTGATGGAGGCAGTGGAATAACCTATAGAAATGTGAAATGAATTAGGGCTTTATCAATCCCTAGCAATGTTTAGGTTTTCTTTGATATATGAAAATTATAAAGTCTCCACTTAATATACGCAAGTATACATGCCTAACCAAGTAATATAGTGATATAGTAGAATATCGATTATACGAGGAAGATATGCTCACTTGCAAATACTAGTATTGTCTACTAAAATTACAACAATTGTCCTACTCAATAAAAATGAAGGTTGTGGAGATTCAATCACTTAAATAAAATTAGATAAATATAATGAATACACTATATGGATATAATGTTTTGAATTGATAAATATAAGTAAAATATTTTCCTTAATGAATCACTTTTAATTGTGATGTTATTCAGGGCATATGTATTTCTAGATATCTGACGAGCTTGTAGGAACAAATGATGGCTATTGACTTCCTATGGTTATACCAACTCCTTAAGAATTTAGTATATTTCAAACCATATGCCTAGTCATGACGCATACTAATTCAATATTCATGATTATGCTTATTCCCTTTGTCTAGGCCCCACACTACGCCTAATTTTAACTACATATATGTCCACTATGTGAATTAAATAAAGATCTAATAATATTGAAAATATCTTTTTAATCTTTTAAGGAATACGAGAATTCATTAATACTATATACGAAACTTACATCATCAACAAAAAAAAACAAGAGAATTTAGCCAGAAATAGGGTATAATTGAAGCAAACTCATTTTCATTGATAGCATGATAAAAAAAAAGAACAATAGATAAATATCACCAGAAGGGTTCAATGGATCTTCTCTACACTCCTTCTCTTTACTTACATATTAGCTTCCACAAACACAAGCCAAACACTCTAATGATGTATCAAACACTTCTCTAAATTCTCTTAGTTGTTACCCTAAGGGAGTTTCAATTAGCTTAGCCATTAATTTCCCTAGTTAATGATTATTTGTTGCACCTTTTGTAACCCCAATCATATTAATCCTTAGCAATCTTTAACCTTGGAATCCCCCCCTCTAATGGTAGCTTATCCTAAGTAAGTCCCTATTTAAGCTAGCTTAAGCATCATATTCACTGTTCACACAACCCCTCCCAACATATGAACTCCATCCTAGTTTATAGAGAGGCCTAAGAGAGACTTCTCATAACCTTCCTAAGCTCCAATGCTCGCTAAAGCTTGGTGAAGCCTAAGAAGGATATGAAGGGAGCTTTTATGTCACACTCCAAGATCTAATTGGGAAGAATTGCCTCTTTTAGATCTTCTAATTGTCGACCAGAGCTACTAATTAACATTCATATATAAATAAGACACAATGAAAGCAATCATCCATTTCATCAAAACATTTACATTTCATTTCCAAAAATCATTTGCCTTAGTCATGAACACATCTTTCCCATCATCAATCTTAATATATTCATGGCTACAAAAATGAACATAAAAATATAGAAGAAATACCTAAAATAAAAATTTTATCAATCTCACTCCTCTGGGTCCTTACCTTTCCCTTAAATCATGAAAATCCACATAATGAGCTAAAGCTCAGTAAGTCACCAGATCTTACCCATGCACCTAATACAAGAAAAGCATAATAATATGCATGTAATCATTCAAATCATATAAGTATGAAAATTCAATCAATGCATTATGAATAATATGAATCATAATTAGATGATGGATAAAGAATTATAATGATTGACTTAGTCCAATCCTAAATTATCATGAATAGGGCTTATGAAAGACTCTCATATGAATCAATGAATCGATGCAATATCATTTCTATATCTTATTATGTTCATATTTATCAATATATTCATTGATATGCTTATTATGTCATGTCATTTCATGTTATGTAAATATATCATGTAGCATGTAGCAGTGTTATGCATCATATATCACATGTTTTTATAGTTTGTATGAGTATCTAAATATTACCAACATAATATATCATATGCATCATGTATTTGTACTTATATCAATATCATTTCATATCATGTTCATGAACATATAATTTTATGCATTTTAATGTATCTTATGTCTAATCATGTGGGGCCATGCCATGTATGCATATACTAACATATTCTCCATAATGTAAGTCAATACATTTGGCTAATTACACTATAAACCCATTACATTGCTCATCTCATCCTCCTATAAATGATATATTGCTCCTACCAACCTGAATCAGCTTGCAACTAGCCAACCTTTCTTGTAACTATATACAATTTCTATGTCTTATACCTTATAAAGTTATAAGTTATAAGAACATGCAATTACCATACATATATGATTAGTGCAATTACCATGTAGATCATTAGTATGTCTTTCCTACAAATATGCTTACAACTATATCCAAATCACGTCATGAATTATGTCATATACATGTCATGCTAGAGTTAAGGAAATATATACAACAATCTTATTGCATTTGCATATGTGCATTTATTCTTGTTAGTTTAATTAAACTATTCTACGCACAAAACTACTCATCGAAATTTCAATATGATCATATCAAATTGCTCAGAATGATAATATATATCACATAACACAACGTCAGTTTATTAAATTGAGAGATAATATATTTTAACTAAATTTGTGGGAAATAAAACTTGAAAATTTAAAATCATAGAAAATAGAAATATGATTTAAATTTTCTACCACAATCAGAGTAACTTTGATCTAACTTCAGTCAAGCAATTCATTCATACATAGAAAGCTCAAAGAAGCTAAAATTATATGCATAATGACAAGTAAGGAAAGTCACTAAAGAGTTAGGGATTCTCCACATGATAGTATGCACAACAGTTCAAAACTAACTTGTTAATCTCTCTTCAATAGTCCCCTCTCCAAGCTCTTCATAAGGCTCCCACTATTGCTATTCTAACTAGCTTAAGGCATGAAATAAACATTTCACCTTGAATATCTCATATTAAATAGGAGAGAATAATATAACTTTCAGTATGTGATGGCTTTGATTGGTAAGATGATAGAGAAATCATGTGGAATCTAATATCAATAAGAAAACATGGAAATTCTCTACATGATGCTCTCAAGTGATGACTAGATAGATTTGTGTGCTAGGCAAGGAGGGAACTCCTAAAGATTCTTTATGGATTTGGGAAAAGCAAAAACATTTGTCAAGTCATATTATTCCAATCCCCCTTCCCACACT